GGGATCAATACATCTTATTAACTATAAAAATTATTTTATATTGAATATGTATCAAACGGTAACAAACTTCAACTCAGTATTTATTATTAGGATCAAAACGATATTACAGTTAAAAATTCTCTCACTCTCCTTTTTTTTTTTTTTTTTTTTTAAATACTATTTAAAATATGGTAAGTTTTTCACATCGCTTTTTTTCAATTACAATAAATTTCTAACAGCATCGTAGATGAGACAGAATGATAATCCAGATTATTTTTATTTTAATTGATTTTATAGAAAATAATGATAAAGCATTGAGCTTTATAAAAGTAATCTGATTTTTAAAATAATGCTGTTTAACTGTTTATGTTCAATGTTGCATGAATCAAGATCTTTTTTTAACAAAGTAAACATATCGCACAATCTTTTCTCAATAACTTAATGCTAATAATAGCGTTTTTCTTTTTTTTTTTATCGCAGGCAGTAATTGTTTATGAAATCAAAACGCGTACGACTTGGCGAAAAAAGGTTAACGCCAATTGGCGCAGCTTTCTATTTCAACGGAATACACGGAAAAAACATATAAAATTCAGTTATTTGTAAAGGATGATTCCAGTAAATAGTGTCACAGTATTTAATACATTTTGATGATAATAATACATGCTGAAAATGTCATATACGGCGGCAATTTTCTTATACAATATGGCTGAAACTTTCCAACCAATTCAACAGAGACAGTAAAATGACAAAAGTATTGAAAATAAAATAATAAATCATGCAGTTTTAACTTACCTATGAAAGGTTACAAGTCCTCCTTTCACGAAAACTTTATTTACATCCGTAGGCGATGCAGGCCGAATAACCATTTTTTACTTAAATTTTATGTGACCAAGCAGACCAGGCAGTCTTTCGTCCCATAGAAAATTAATGTAAAGTATTTGCAGCACTTTCGGAATTCGCACAGCAGTCACGTGACATTAATGTTGGAACCGGTTGAAGGTTGCAATACGCTCTCTACCAGTATATTATCTCGTTGGCCTTGACAGACAAGAAGCTAAATCATAGCGACATTAACGGGGCGGAATTATTCGAAGAAATTAAAGCTATGCAACCCCATCTTAAAACAAATACAATTGGAATTCTTGAATACATACTAGAAAAGGGTGTACTCCAACTGCGCTAATGAAAATCCCCCCCGGTCGAGCTATTGTCCAACTGCGCCAATCAAAATTTCTCCTCCCTGCTGCCTACAGGGTTACAATTTAACTTTTCGAAGCCAATTGTAGCCAAGAGGAAAATAAAAATAAATAAATAGAATTACATATCACAAGAACAAGTTAAAAATATTTAACAAGCAGGCTAATTACTAACAGAATAACAGAATAACAGTAATGCGAATAGAGCTAACAAAGAAAATAAAAGGTATTGGTGAAACATACATATTAGCATTACAAACATCTTTCATTTATTATAACAATATCATAAATTAAATAATTATAAAGCATACAAATTATATTTTTAATAAATTACATCAATAATAGTCAAGATGTCTGAACTAGACTGGAAAATTTAATAGAGTGCAAAAAATTATTCCATATCCAAGTGTGCTAAAGCTGCTAAAATATTTTTTGTTAATTAAAGTAATCATGTAAATGCTTGCAGAAATTAAATTTAGTTAAATTTAAAAAAAAAAAGCTTAGCATGAAATCTATTATAACAACATTACTATGCATTTGGAGCACTGACGTATAAATTCTAAATAAATTAAAATTATTATGCTAAGAAGTTTTTCTAAGATTTATATAGAAGAAAAAGGAATAAGATAAACAATACTGCAAATTAATATAATCAATCAGGCCTCTCAATAAATAAAAGTTTATTTTTTAACCAAAAATTAAAAATTGGGATGCAAAAGTTTGAGTAATATACTTGGAAATATCTGAATATAATTAAATTAGAAATGTATAATTAAATTAATAACAAGCTAATTAACAATATCCTTAAGCTTAATTTCATTCAATCTAAAACAAGCAATCGATCAGGCAGCATCTGCATAACTGAAGTTTTAAGGCTATTTTACGTAGATTTGCGTATAAAATAAAAGTTGCACTTATGAAACAAGTCAATAATGTACTGATAGTCAACAGGAATTAAAATACAGTGGTTAAAAATATAACTACTTGTCAGAAAGTATGCAAAGTTGCCATGGCTAGAGAAATTGAATGATTATAGAAAATTCATAAAGTTAAGCGCTACAGTGTGAAAAGAAAATTTTGGAATAAACATGTTAAGTAAATTAGATGGAGAAATAATCCTTAATTTATTGATATCCATATAAACTCTATGCTTTTGGGAAAATGTTACATATAATTTGCACCGAGGTATCAATCACCGAAACCGAGTTAATTTCTTTCCTTATTTTTTCTTATTAGAGGGATTTGTAAAAAGATATGCTAAGGTAAAGGTGAAAATTTTTGCAATATTTTTAAAGAATAAATTAAAAAAGTATTTTTACTTCATGAACTGAAATTTTTACGCTACATTTTTACACAGTAAATAAGAACAAAAAAAAAAAAAAAAAAAAAAAGGGCTGAATTAGAGATTTACATGTTTGGTGAATGAGTTAAACTTACCTGTATGCCATTATGAAATATTAGGAATGTAGCACAAAAGCATGAGTGAAGAAGGCAATGGCAATCTAAATCATTGTAATCTAAATGTATATCATTATGAGTATCTGCTATTAATTTCAATACTGCTGAAAAAATTATAACTGAATTACATTATAAAATCACATGAACTCGTTGCATTACAAATTAAAACAGTTAGAAATATTATTAGCGTGATTCAGCGACGATCTTTGTTAACAAATCATTTCAAATAATTAATTTTACAAATAATTCAGCCTGAAACTAGGTTAGAAAATAAGCTGCATGCTGAAGGTTAAGCTTTACCAACGTGTTAGAACAATCTTCTGTTAACTAGAGTTATGATGCAAGAATTTGTAAAAATTATCATTTAAATATAAATTGGCATAAATACAATACAAAGTATATAAATTCTACATACATGAAAACTTGAGTACAGTGCAACAATATGTGAAAAAGGAATGGATTAAAAAGGGAACTGAAAATATCCTGCTGACGCTCATAATTATTAATTTATTAATTAAATGTGTATTAGAAATTAAATGTATGCCAAAGTACATCAGGTGGAAAACAGAATAAATATTTAAACGTTTCTAGTATTAAAATATGCAAAAGGAAAGCCACGCGACAAGAAGTCCAATTCTGTTTCTAAAATGGTAAATTTGAAAGTTAAAATCATTCTGCTATCTAAGATTTGTTAATATTTATCTAGACAAGGTATCTAGACAAGGCTACAAATCCGATATTTGATTATGTATCAGTTTCGTTGATTATGTATCAGTTTCGTGTATGTCATTAATCTATCAATTTTACTATTCAAAACTTATATATATATATATATATATATCAGCGACTAAAATCTACAACTTGGAAAGTTTTTAATTCTTACAGAGAATAAAAAGATTTGGCTCATCATTCCTTTAAGCATCATAAAACTTTAAAATGAGTGTAAAAGAAATTTATTTTTTAGCACACGCCAGACTTTAAATTAATATTTGTTTTACATGCACAATTTTTACAATATTGATAAACGAAAATAAAGGCTTGCAGTCTCAATAGAATGTCCCATTAATGGCGATAAACGACTTTTTGTAGCACCCAATCTTCTTGGAAAGAAATGGGGGACAGGAAACGTCGCGCAGTTCGTGGATTAGAAAAGAGAGGGAGGGGGATTTTCGATCAAATTTGGCGCAGTTCGTAACCTACCCTAGAAAATAATTTATCGTCATCTTTTCCCAATTTAACCGTACTAATTAGAATTTTCTTGACCTTTCCGGTCACTGTTGCAACTGGAGAACGTTCATTCTCCAAGCTCAAGTTGATAAAAAAACTATCTTAGATCATCCATGAGTCAGGAAAGATTATCGGCTTTGGCAACTCTTTCTATTGAACACAAATTGTGCGATACCATAGGCCTTAATGGTGTGTTAAAAAATTTTTCGGAAACAAAATCTCGGAGAGTGCAATTTTAACTTTTATCCTAAAACAATTTGAGAAGTGTTTTAAAGCTCCCAGGTTCTTTTTTTTCACCATTATAAGGTAAGTTTTTTTTAAATACGTTTGATTTAGTTCCCACAATTTTACTAATTTTTCTTTATATTTTTTAAAACGATTTCGTTAAAAATTAGGTCTATTTTATATTAAGACATTGACTTTTGAAGTTTTATAATTAAAAAAAAATATTTTAAGACAAATTTGCTAAAAAATTATTCTTTGGAAAAAGGTAGAAATTTACATAAATTGTATTCCATTCCAACGATCTTCATTTTGTACTCTAGAGAAGGGGGAGAAGGCCACAGGCGGCCCTGCATCTACCGTACGGAGTGCTATCCACTGCGCTAACCTTTTATTATGGGAAAAAGTGAGATAAAATTTAAAATACCTAAAATGAAGAAGGAAATATTTCTTCATTTAAAAATTGTGAACAAGGGATGATGATGTCAAAAAACAATAACGTATATAAATCTAGCATGTTGAATAAATATGCTGCGTAAGATCTGAAAAAGCAATCTGGAATAATTTCATAGTTTAATATTTCAGCAAAATATGAAGCATGATTTGTTTCGGCTTTACGGTAGAAATTTTCGTTCAGCTTATTGATGTAGTCCTTAATGTATTCAAGCCTGTAGTTATTATGCAGATTTTAGTTACTGAGAAACCAAAAGGCTCCGACAATAAGATGAAATTTATTTTGCAAAATTTGTAGTTTGTTAATTTCGTTTTCATTCCTCTTCCATAGTGTCTTTAGTCGCCAACCTCGCGATGCATCGCCAATAGTATGCAACAGACGCCAGCCAATCACGCCAGCGAAGCATATACTATTCTAAAGCGAGACGTTACGTTTGACGACAGTTTAATTGCTTATCTTGTTTCGAGTAGAAGTACGAGGCATCGAGAGACCACGTTGTTAACGTGGTGTTGGTAAACCTGTTCCAATGTTGATACTGTGGCAGATGGAAGAATCTGGGCTATCGAATCGACTGATAGTCCGATTCTTCACCTTCAGACTTTAGTACGGATAAGATTACCTCGAAAACTGAGACATAATGTCGTTATGTGTACTAAGTAAACATTTTGTGAAAACGTTAACTGGTCAGGTATTTATTAAATTTCTTATCTTTATGGGTAAAGAAACGGTGTAGCTCGGGAAATTAATACAAGAAACATTATTAATATAGGCCGAATAACTTAATTTGTGTCAAATAAGTCATTTTGCGATTATAACATTCAGCTTTATCTTAAAGAAAAAAGAAGCAGTTTTTGTCATGTCATAAGTTTTTTGAGCTATAGTTTATTGAGAATTGTTTAAATCGTCTTGGGCATTACTGTAGTTAAATGATTTTACTAATAAACAAATTGTTTAGATTTATTAATAGATTCCCTTATCAGTTTGTGGCAGGTATGATATAACCTCTCTTCCAACTTAATTTTAATCATCATATTATAATTTTGTAATTTTAATCCCAGTAGCGTAGCTAGGGTGGGGCAAGGGGGGACATCTGTCCCCTGGCGCAGCATTCAGGGGGCGCCAAATTGATGTTATTAAATTTTAGAATGAAATGTTTTCCGTTCTTGGAACAGAGAAAGGGGCGCAACGTTTTCAGTTGTACCCGGGCGCTGAAAACCCTAGCTACGCCGCTGTTTAATCCTTCATCAGTTTCTTAATCTTCTCATTGAACTTAATTTTAATATCAGTGTAACTATAGAAAGAAATATTCATCTTATCTATCATTCGTTATAATATATGATGATATGATAAATAATGTTTATATACGAGATGACAGATAATGTTTATATGGTGATATGATAGGTAATGTTTATATATGAGACATTAAAATAAGTTTTGATAAGAATGGAATGATTAGACATGTATTTATGTACATGAAAGTGATGAAATGTTATTTGATTAATTTGTTTTAAGTACTTACTTTCATGGAGTGGAAAGTTTCATGCAGAAAAAAGTATATATTGTTTCCAGAAACTTACGTTTTCTAACAAACCTTTCTTCATAACAATTTAATACCTTAAGGGTTAATTCTGTCTTAAATCATGTGAAAATTACGTGCAATGTTTGTGGTGTTTTTTACTTTAAGACTACAGTTCAAACTATTCTGTTGACATAATCTAAAATCAAGTAATTTTAAATTAAGTTAAATGGATGCATGGACACAGTTTGCTGTCATAATCAAATTGATTTTGTTGCATGCATTCATTTATTTTATTTGTACCTGTCTTTTACGTTTCAGGCTAGCAATATTTTTTTTTTACCTGTAGATTCTAATTATATTAAATTAATGTGAAATTAAGTTTTCTAAGAAATTTATTTTTATATTTTGAGCATAAAATCTATCCTAGCAAAATGTGAAGGTTCTGTAAATTTTTTTTTTTTAATGTATGAAGTTAATTTTGTGTTAGATCTTGTAAAGGTCAGTGCATTATAATTTAAATGTGCTGTGAGACATAATAATGTAGGATTTTTATATATTTGACAGTAATTGGTTAATTTTAAATCTATTGATCTCTATCTATAAAAATTGAAATTATAATTCCCATTTTAGAAATTTGCATTTATAAAATTGATATTTTGGAATAAAATCTATAAATATGGTTTCTAGCCCAGTTTCATAATGTGTTTTGATAAGAGAGACTTTGTACATTAACGTACAGAAGTGACGAAATTATGCAAGAAATTGCAAAAGCATAAAATTGAATTTAGTGTGAAATAATGAATGCTTCTAATTGTATAATGCAGGACTGCAATATATATATATATATATAAAAATAAAGTACTCTGGAAAAGTCTTTGTGAGATTCATTTTTTGTTCAGAAAATTTTCATCTGGAGTAATTGGAGAACAGTGTTGCAGTGAAATACCATATACTTTGAAGATGTGAATGAAGATCATTTTTACACCATTAAAGTAAACTTTTCAGAGTTTGTACTTGAATTGAGTTGAAAATGCAGTAAGCGGTATAGTGTAATTCTGTCAGAGCATTGTTGGAAAACTCTGTGGGGACCTGTTTACTAGGGTTTTGGGCTAATATTTTTAATTATTATGTTAATTTTTTTCTATTACTTTTTCATTCATATGTCTCTGATATACCCTCTGAGTGGCTTGGCTGCTTATCCTGTCGTAAGATTTATTGTCATTTATGAGGTATTGCTTTGTCATGTGAAATATGGGGAAAGTGCAGAATCACCCACTGCTTGGCGCTTTTTTCAGAATTGAACATACTCGGTATCCATGTACACAGTCACCTATTTTCACTTAAAAAAACATTCCAGAATTGCACAAAAATGGCATAATATTTATTTGTTTACTTTATTAAACATTTCTTTCAATATAAGTTGTTTAAGTTGCTTCGTTTTATGTGATAATATTATCTCTTTAATTCTATAAACAGACATAATTTCTTGTTCAGTTACAAAGTTCCGCTGTTCAAGTCCTATAATTGCTGTGTCGAGAATACCGACTAATTTGTCAATCGAAATTTTTTCGTTTTCAATAATCTCTGTGTCACTTTCTTCACTATCGGAAGCGAATTATAATGATGAGGAATTTGATTGAAATCATATCAAAGACGAAGTACATCGAGATGAAATACTACATTTAGTAAGGAATTATAAGCCAAATAAAATAAAAACATTTGGCCTGAAGATAAGGTTATTGCTGACAGATCAACTTCCAATACACTGCGTGCCGTGGCGTTCCCCCCCCTTTGCCGCAGAGCAGCGTTGAAATTGATAAACAGATTTCGGAATGGTTACAGAAACAAAGCATATACTTTTATCCATTTTTTTGCAGCAATTGCACTTTTTGTTTAATGGACTTCGAAACATACTTTCGCTTTGTAGATCCTTTATATATTAGTAAATATATATCGGAAATTCTATTTGACATAATTGAAAGTTCAAGCTTACTTTTATAAAATTGCTCTAACAGTCTGCAAAAAATAATAAGCCGGATCCAATTTGAAGATTAAGGAACGACGCAATTTGCTACATTAACTGAATTAGATAATTTTAGCTTAGCTTATACCGTCCGTTATACATTAAACGCGCATTCCTAAACGTATTTTGCATGCGCACACGCATATTCGCAGCCGTAAAGGTCTTACGCGCATGCTCCAACGCGACGCACGCGCAGAAAGTTTATAGCTTTGAGGTCCGGATTATAGATCATTCCGGATTATGGGTGTCCGAATTAACGACTTTTGACTGTACTATTAATTTCTTTTAGGTAAAATCCTAGGAGGGCCCTTACCCTTGGCGACAAACTGGGAAAGTGAAGAATCGCCCACTGCGTCGAGAGTTTCTCAAAATCGCCAACTTGAAAATAACAAGTCAAAAAATTGCACAAACTCGGTATACATGTATACACCAACCAATTTTCTCTTAAAAAAACATCTCAGAATTGCACAATCCCTTGACTTTGTCCATGTACCTATCGATACGTGCCATATAAGTGGGCACGCCAAGGGTGTGGGCTGTGCTCGGATCCAACCATTTTCTTATTTCAGTGCATACAGAACCTTGTATTTCTTTTTAGAAACTTGCCTAAAAATTGCTTTTATGAACTGTAAAGTTTTAAATATTGTTTATTTAAATGAAAGAATCATAAATTAAATTTATATTATAAATTTCATATTTTTATTTTTGTTACAATAAATGATAACTAATAAATTATAAAATTGTTACAATAAATTACAATATGGTTATAAAAACTAAGCACTAATCTTTGGAATATGGTAACAGGTAGTTTGCAACATTTTGGTAAGGTGATAAAGGTTACTAGGTAGGACTTTAGCAATAATCTGAAAAGTACACAGTTCGAATCACAGATTATTTTGTCTCGGAATGAGAGATCATGAGACATGTCATGTGACATTTTCTGGAAAATTCTGATCGTGATTTTAGCTAATAAGCACTTAGAAACAATTTTGCTGCTAAAGTGCAGAATCGCCCACTTATTTGTTTGGCGCTTTTTACAAGAGTAAGAAAAATTGGATTTTTGTCAAATTTCTTTGACTTTTTTAAGTGAAAATAGGTCGATGTGTACATGGATAAAGTCAAGCGTGTGCGCAATACCATTTCTGTACAATTCTGGGATTTTTTTTCAGTGAAAATAGGTCGACGTGTACATGGATACTGCGTATGTGCAATTCTTAAAAACGTGCGAAGCAGTGGGCGATTCTACACTTTCTCCCAATTTTGCACCTAATCTTCGTCATGATTAAGCACTTTTGTTCCATAAAAGTTCTAGTTCTAGCATAAGCGTAATTCGGCTAGCAGTTTTCTGGAAAAAAATGTTGAGCTAAAAAAAAAAGCCTTTACTTCGTAAAAGCAAAATGACATCAAAAAAAAAAAAAAAAAAAAAAAACTACCAGGTTGTAGCAGGGTTGGTCGCCAAAAAATCGCCAAGTTACCATAATCCGAAGATTCACCAAACTAAGTTACAATATGGTAATAAAAACTAAGTTTTAACAATAAGTAATAAAAACCAGGTTTTTATTATGTAGTGTTGTTTTTATTAGCATGTTGTCATGTTGGTGCTAAGAGCTACTCTGTAGTTTATATTCTTTAGAGTTTTAATTTTCTAAATATTTATGACTTTCTTTAAACAGTTTTATGTGGTGTGACACAAATAAGAGAAATAATAATTGGTAATGCGAGGAGTAGTAAATAGCTTGTTGTAATTAGAGTTGTTATGTATTATTTTGTAGTGTTAAATTATTGCATATTACTTAACTGTGCAAAATGTAATTTTTAGTATTTATATTATTTTACTGTGAACACTGAATTTGTAATGTTTGTATTTAAGAATTAATGTATAATATTTAGTATTGTTTAAATTTTAACTCGATTATAGCAACTCTATCACGGCAAAGCTCCTTTAAGTTTAGCTGAAGATGTGATTCAGAAAAAAAGGATGTTAAAATTACCTTTTGCACAGTAAAATAATATGCAATAATTTAACACTACAAAATAATCAGTAACAATTTTCCATAACAAATTCCTGGTCTACTGTAGGTCACCCATGTGATCCTTACGGAACATGGTTACCCAATCAAACCTGGGTAACCATATTGCGGTTGTA